CAGATCTGCAAAGAAAAATGGAAAAAACACCACATTCCTTCAATCAACATCAACAGTAACTAGATCTGAAAATTCAAGCAATCAGAAACCACACCAAACTCTAAATCCCATTCAAGCATGACTGCAAGCCAACAAAAAAACAGAACAAAAAAACCCAGGCGGGTTCGAGGAACATTTGAACCTAGGCCTGGGTTCCTCGAACCCAGCACGCCTGGTGCCTCGACCCGCGCCTGGGTTCGAGGAACCCAGGCGTTGGTGTTGGGTTCCTTCGAACCCAGTAGGGGAGGGGAAGGAGAAAAGGAAAGAGAAGGAGAAAAAGAAAAGAAAGGAAAGAAAAAAAAAATTTATTTATTAAATTATATTTTTGGTGCCAAGTCACTATATTTTTATAATTAAAAATACCACATCACTCATTTTATTTCTAAGTAATATTTAATATTAATAAAAATTGAATTTGTTAACGGGAAATGTTCCCATGTCAGCACTTAACTGACGGAAGGACGAAATTGGTCTCAAAAATTGGAGTTCAAGGATTTTTTTAGTACTTTTTGAAGTTCGAGAGTAGTTTTAGTTCAAAAATGACAGTTGAGGGACTGAATCGGGGATATAACCTAAAATGTTTAGACGTTAATTATATGATATTTTTAATTAATTTTGATTTTAATTGATTTTATTGGTCAAAAACAAAAAAAAAAATAACTGAATAAGATCTTTGAATAATATTTATATGGCTTTTCTAATTAATTTTAACTTTAATTAACTAAATATATTAAACTCTAATAATATCCATGTAATCAATCATATGGGTGTTTAACCTATATAATTAATATTCTCAATACTCTTTACCCCTTATATCCCTCCCCTTCTCCCCAATTTATGAAGTTTAAAAAAAAAAAAAAAAAGCCAGATATATTTATTATCTTCATTAGCCCAAAAATAAGTTCGAGAGTTTTATTGAAAAAGCAAAATAAGTTCGTGGGTAACTATGATTGGGCCATTCCAATTTCGTATTCAGGGGAAGTGCTAGGGGCACTCGCCTCTTGCACTCTCTGGCAACACTTCCCCTTTCACTGGGGCACGTAAGCTTGTTTTATGCTTTGAATGGCAACCTCTTACCAACGCAAATAACGTGGTTCAATAAGAGGGAAAGCGTTGGGCGGAGAGTGCAAGAGGCGAGTGCCCCTAGCACTGCTGTCGTAGTCAGAATGCAACAAAGTGCAAGAAAGTTCCTCAGAAAGGAAATATGTCAACCAAGAAACAGTCCACAACCTACAATGATGAAAAGGAGCCGAATGTTTCTTCTTCCACCCCCCCCAGAAAAAATAAAAAAGAAATAAAAAGGGGTAGACAAAAGGAGCCAAACTAACCAACGCACCCAAAAGGTATCATCTTTCAAAAACCTTTCATGCCTGCTTTTGGTTGTACTTTTAAGCAGTCCTCTCATCCCTCTCTCTTTTCAATAGAACTATATATACCCGTTTGTTTTGTGTAAGTAAAGGCACAGAGAAAAACAGAGAGTTTGAGTCAGGGGCCTAGGTAGCAGCCAGCAGGTGAGTTGTTTTTCAATTTTCCCTCTTCTTTCTTGTATTGGTTGTTGTTCTGATACTTGGGTCTTGGTTACTTCCTTTGGTTCTCGTGACTATTCTGTGCATCTAATCATTTTTTGCCTCTGTTTCTATATTGAATCTCCCCTTTTGGTTGTTGAGGAAACGGGAAGGGAAGGAAAATGAACCAACTTTTATGCAGACTTTGATGTTTTGTAAGGATTTTGTAAGGAGGATATACTAGAGCGAGAGACCCAGATGGCATGTTTGCTTGCTAGTGAAATTTTGAATTTCTGATTGGTTTTTCTATTAACCTTGAATAGTTCTATGAGTTTCTTAAAAAATTATAATGAAATGGACAGTAGTTTATTGATCACAGATTCAGGATGGCATTTAGGTTGCTCTTTTAAGCCAGTTTGGTGTATAGTAGCATTGTATCATTTATCAATTGTGCTGTTGGAGAGCTAGGTGCCATGTGATCATGTTTTAGTTTCTTTTATTTTCATAAAGGAGATTACTTGGATGACACAGGAAACAATTGTGAGGAATCCTGTTTGCCATTGTAATTGAAAAGAGTCAGATAACTTGTCTCCGATTTTGTTAAGAAATCGAGATTTTCGGTCTTGTATGATGAAAAGGATGGCCTTTTCTTCCCATGCTTTGCATATTGATTATCTTTTAGCCTTAAGTTATTTTCTTGTTAAATTTGGGGTTGTTATGTACTTGTTCTTGGATTCTATGTCGCTGTTATTTCATGTTTATATCATATGGAAATTCTTACATATACAAGTCGAAAAATTTGCTCTTACTCATTCAGTGAACTTCCCTCAGGAGAAAGAAACATGAGCTGCTTCAGCTGTTGTGAAGATGATGACATCCATAAAGCTTCTCAAAATGGACCATTCATGGCAAATAATTCAGCAAGTAATTCATACTCCCAAGCTCTATTTACTTCTATCCATGTGTTTGTGGATGCATGTAGTTCAGCCTTTGTCTTGTCTCTTAGTCAACCCTAGCATTTCGTTTTTGAATTATTCATGGTGATATGACTCAAAAGTCTCATATTCTCATTTTATGGCTTCTACTTTGGAAGTCATTGTTTATTCTGAGCTATTTCTTTCTTCCTTTTCAACTTCTGATTCGTTAGTATGAAACTAAGAAGGTGCTAATATAGGTAATACCAGAGGTCATCATGTAAATCAAGCTCTAGGAAATGACACACAAGCTGTTGCTTTCCAACCCATTGCTGTCCCTTCCATCTCAGTGGATGAACTTAAGGACATAACAGATGGTTTTGGTACAAAATCCTTAATTGGCGAGGGCTCATATGGAAGAGTATATTATGGCATTCTAAAAAATGGCCAAGCTGCTGCAATAAAAAATTTGGATTCCAGTAAGCAACCACTCCAAGAATTTGAATCACAGGTTGTTGCAAATGAAATTTCATTACGTTTCATACTTATGCGTGCTAGAGAATGTTTAACTTTGGGATTCAAAGTTAATGGTTGTCACATGATTTTACAGGTCTCCCTGGTATCAAGACTAAAACATGATAATTTTGTTGACCTTCTTGGTTATTGTGTTGATGGCTCTTTCCGTGCCCTTGCCTATGAGTATGCTCCAAATGGATCTCTCCATGATATTCTTCATGGTAAGCAATATCATATATTTTCTTCGTTTTTAATCTTATCTTCAACAAATTTTACTGATTCAGAACAACTTTTGCTCCCTATTATTTGTATTGTAAATTCGGACTGAGTGCTGGTTTTCTGTTGATAGTTTTTGGTAGCGTGAAGGGTTTATCTTTCAGAGAAGTTTTGGGATGTCTCTTTCACTGGTGAAAGAAAAAGATGAGATTTCTTCTCTTGTTAACACAAGTGTTTAATTTCTGGATGTAGGAAAGAAAGGTGACAAAGAAGCAAAGCCAGGTCCTGTTCTATCATGGGCTCAAAGAGTGAAAATTGCAGTTGGAACAGCCAGGGGACTTGAATATTTACATGAAAAAGCACAGCCTCGTGTTATTCATCGAAACGTTAAGTCCAGCAATATTCTACTCTTTGATGAAGATGTAGCTAAAATTGCTGATTTTGATTTGTCAAATCTAGCGCCTGATGCAGCACCACGGCTTCATTCCACTCGTGTTCTAGGAACCTTTGGTTACCATGCTCCAGAGTAAGTGTTCATCACTTCATCCACGTTTTCAACTTCTCTGCTTGACCTATGCTTAAGTAAAAACATATAAATACACTACCCCATTCCCTTGCAAATTGGAGTTACTTTATACATTAAGTCTCAGACATCTCCATCAAGATCATCTTGTTAATATACGCTTGCTGAGATGTGAAATGTAAGCATACAAACCTTCTATGACATCAAACACTTATCTAACTTTCTTAATTCTGAATGACAGATATGCGATGACTGGAGCAATGAGTTCCAAGAGTGATATTTATAGCTTTGGTGTTGTCCTTCTGGAGCTCCTAACCGGGCGCAAACCTGTTGATCATACACTGCCACGCGGACAACAGAGTCTTGTGACATGGGTATTCTAGCAAAATTCCCCCACCATTTTTTTTTTTTTATATAAATCCATAATTGCAAGCTTCACGCTGGCTTATCCTTGCATAATGCTTTTCTGTGTTAGGCAACCTCTCAACTTAGTGAAGATAAAGTGAAGCAATGTGTTGATGCTAGATTAAATGGAGAATACCCTCTAAAGGCAGTAGCAAAGGTGAAAACGATGATGTTTCCGGTTATGCATTGCATTAGCTTTAGTCTTGCTAATCATTCGAAACATGTTCTTTTAATCCTCTCCAAATTAAGTTTCAACAAGATAAGTACTCATTTCTCATGCCTATCAATTCAAAATCATTGATCAAAATAGTCTTTCTTGTTGTAAACAGTTGGCTGCTGTCGCTGCCTTGTGCTTGCAGTATGAAGCTGATTTCAGACCTAGCATGAGCATTGTGGTCAAAGCTCTCCAGCCTCTCCTTCCCACTCTGCCTGCTTCCCAGATTGAAAAGCAACACCCCATGAATACATCGATGACTTGATGCTTTAGATTTTTTGGACTAGCAAAATCTGTCATTATTATAATTTGGTCTGGAAATTGATGCTATAGGTTTTTCAGTAGTTCCGTTCCTCAAAAATTTTGTTTTCCCATTCATTGTAGTTTCTGTTTCCTATTCACATTATTTTTTTTGAACATTTTGTCATGGGGCCAGCTCCTCGAACCGTTACCCTGGAGAAGGGATATGAACCTTACAAGCGTGGCTAGAGCCACTTGGCCCGGATGGCCAGGTTCTCCTATTCATATTATTGAACTCAAGAACTTATAATATTTTAATGTCCTCAGTACCATCACATAAGAATAAAAGTGAAGGGACGGTTCCTAACTTCATATAGCCATAACAGACTAGAAGCAGATCACTTTGCCTGCCTCTTAAGTTACTCTTTAGCCTTTTCATTCATTCCAGACATGTTCTTGTCATAGGTAAGATGATTACTAGCCGGCAAGTGCAAGTCAACATAACCTGCAATAGGACAGATAATGTCCGCAAAAAACAGTGAAAATATCGCAGAACAGGGACATAAACAGCATATAGACAATGATTTTGAGGTTGAGCTATTTGAATTTGGGCCATTTTTCTTTGAGTTTCTTGTTCTCTAATTCAGATTGTAATAAATTACATTAAACTACAAAATAAGAATCATTAAATACAAGGAGAGCCCCATCTAATGATTTAAGAGCCCCCAATATCAAGAGATCTGTCTCCATTTAATGATTTAAGTTGTGCATTTCAAACTGCACAAAACTTGCCTTGGTTTCAGAATTTGTTGAAAGAAGCAGAGTTTTTATCTTTACTGACACTCAAATCAAATTTTTTTCATGTTTTGCCTTTCATTTTCGTTCTTCTCAGCAAGTAAAAGGGATTCACAAAGGGACTCCTATTGAAAAACACAGCAAACCTAAACCAAAAGCAAAGAAAAATGGGAGAAACCCATAGCTGTACAGACAACTGGTGGCAATGGTGTCTCGTGGCAAAGCTGGTTTCAGACACAAACTAATCTTCTCTACAATCTAGAAGTACATAAAGTGAAAAAAAAGGGGAAGAAAATCTCTTAATCCTATATACTCTTCATGCATTCAATCCAATCTATGGAGGAGCTCCAAGATGTTGAGGGACGAAGAGAGTGTAATAATTACCACTGTACTCTTTTAGCTTCTATGTATGATCTGACCACAGTCTATTTGGGTTGGTTCTTCATGCTGTCCAACTTTGAATCAGGATCATTACTCTGTTGAGCATCAGCGTTATCCATTTGTGGCTCGGCCTCTGTGTTCTGATTCCTCCGGCGTCTTCGATCCTGAAAATTCAAAACCCTTTAATCTCTACTCAGGACAATTAGGTAACTGCAAAAGTTTACAATCTTCTCCTACACTAAGATACTTTCAGCACTCGCTGTAAATCAGCTATTGTTTGAATACAAATGCTGCTTCCATGATATGTGGTTCATAAAAATCCAAAACAAATTCTGCAAAGAAAGTTTGAGCATCAAACCTCTCGAGAAAGAGGATATTCCTCTGATTCGAGCATGCGAACCACCTGACTCATCTTTGGCCTTTTTTCAGCATCTGGATCAACACATCTCAAAGCAGTCAGAAGAGCCCGTTTAAGGGCAGTTGTTGGGGGTTTAGCCTCAATATTTGGGTCTACAACCTCCTCTGATCGTCTTTGTTGAACCATTGTCTTTAGCCACTCCACCATATTTGCCTAAAAGAACACCCCACAACAGGATCATGTCAAGAGAACAAACCAAGCAGTATGCCATGCCCTTAAATCAAGCTACTAAGAGCTGTAACACCAATGTGGAGTTAAACACTAAGTACCTGTTTAGACTAGATTCTAGAACAGTTTTCTCAGTTCAGTTGTAAGTTAGGAAAAACATAAAAGTGCTTCTGGCTTTCCTAGAAGCTTCTAGAGGCTAGAAGCCAAAACTGAAGCCACAGATTCTAGAATAGGGCTTTTGTAGGTATAGTTTTGAGTTTAATGAAATTTATCAGCTTCTACAATATCCAAATCATTCTATATAGTGTGATTATATGGCATTGTCAGAAACAGCTCCACTCAGCCAGAATGTACTCAGAAACTGACAGATGTATCTTGTATGAATTGAATTGAAGAGATAGAAATATCTATTGGTAATTCCTTCATACGAAGCACAGTACATATACATACACTTCTCTGAAATTTCAAGCTCTATTGAGAAAGAAATATTCTTCCATACCTCAGCCTGAGGGCGGCCATAATCTACTGGATATCTTCCAGTAATTGCTTCTAAGAGCAGAACCCCAAAGCTGTAAACATCACTCTTCTCATTCAGAAGGCCAGAATTGGCATATTCTGGAGCCACATAACTGAAATCAGTTGAGCAAAAAAACATCAGTTTCTTCACCAATCCAATTTTCAAAAGAGTGCAAAACTTAAAAAGACAATGAACTAGCATGGTAGTCTTCAAAGGGTTCAGGAAAATACTACAAGCAATGTCCAACAAGTTTTCTTTTTGAACAATATAACAAAAAAAAAAGAACTCAAATTTCAAAATCTTAATTTTGGAATTGAAATGCATGTTCGTAATTATAAAGAAGGGAGTGAAAAAACCTTACCCAAATGTACCCATGACTCTAGTTGTGATGTAACTTTTCCCATCACCTAGCAATTTGGCCAGACCAAAATCAGATATCTTAGCATCAAAATTGTCATCAATCAATATGTTACTCGATTTAATGTCCCTATGAACAACTTTGGGTTCAATTGCCTCATGCAAATAAGCCAGCCTGCACCATTTATGTTGAGCAACAATGAGAACAAACACAAGATAAGCATCAACAAACAAGATTGAGTAATGTTAGACTAACGCTTTTGCGGTGCCAAGGAGAATCTTAGTGCGAGCCTCCCAAGTAAGATATCCTTTATGACTCATCTCTCCACGCAGCCACTGTTCTAAGTTGCCGTTATTGACATACTCATACACCAATAACCTGAAATTAATGAAAGAATTTCACATAACATTTGCAAAATGTCTCTCTTCTATGAGAGTGTCTGACAACACAGGTGTATGTAGGTAATACAATTCTACCTCTCTGTTCCCTCAATGCAGTATCCAAGAAGTCGAACTAAGTTTTTATGCCGGACATGCCCAATAGCCTCAACTTCCACTCTGAAATCCTTATCAGCTTGACCACTATAAGGAACACAGAGAAAGGACTACCAAATAAATATTGCTATGCATTTAGTCTACAGGCAAAAAATAACCAAGCCATTCTATAGATTTCAAAATGATCTCTACAACTTACGGATTGTTGAGAAGTTTCTTGACAGCTACAGGAGTTCCATTATTTAGATTGCCTCTGTAAACAACTCCATACCCACCATCACCAATAATATTATCCTTTGAAAACCGGTTAGTTGCTAGCTGTAGGTCTCTTAAGGTGAACCAATGACCCCAGCCTAACTGAGAAAATTCAGGTAGGCCACACAGAGGGGAAGGAGCATTGAGGGGATGTGAAGAAGGCTTGTAAGTGGTAACTGTACCAGTGCCCCCCTCATCTCCTGATTGGGACACTTTGACATCTTTCTCAATATGATTAAACGACCCAGACTCACTATCATCACCATGCTCAACATTGATCAGAACCTTCTCTGACTCCCTTTCATTGAACTTGTCACTAAGGGTCTCCACCAGGGCATCGTTTGCTGAAGCCTGATCAACCCTTATTTCTTTAATTTCCTCTGAAATATTGGGCGCTTGGCTCACTGGAAGCATTTCATTAGGCCTTCTGGATTTCTTCCGACAACTAAGCCATAGAGATATCCCAAGAACAACTGCAAAAACCACTCCCAAGCCTATCACAATTATCACCCACAACTGCAGACCAATGTAAGTCTTTGATAAAGTTTTGTTAAGATCAGACGCCATTTTTGCCAATACCTAGATGCCTGAAATGTAAATGAACTAAAAATCAACCCATTGCATCCAAATGTTGAAAATTTACTTGCTCTGCACTTTACTAGTAGGATTAATTGATCATCAAAGCATATTTTAAATCAAATTTACACACATGGAAACGTAGAATCAAAACAGGCCATCAAACAAATCTAAAAAAAAATCCAAATCCAAAACTGGGCAGCATCACGCACTTTACTTAGAAAGAAATAAAAAGCAAGCAGTGAAGGTGCCAGGACAAACAAACATAGGAGGATAAAGAAAGGAAATTACATAGAATGACAAGAAAAGTAGACTTAAAACAGCAACCAAATCTCCAAAAAGAACCAGAAGAAGTTTCAAACGAAAGGAAAGAAGCAAAAAGGGAAAACAAGGAATTTTCCTTGAATCAATGTCCACCAATAACCGAACCCATTGTAAATCATAAACGAACGGAATAACTTTTCCATTTCCAACAACAGAACACAGATTTGGACATCATTTGACCGAAATCAAGCACAGAAAGTTACAGATTTCAGACATCAAAGAACATAAACACTCCATAGATGATTTCACATGATAAGTCAAACACACAAAGATCAAAACTTTCAGCATTTGAAGTGTTCCAGAATGACAAACCTGATTGTGAAGTGAACCGGCTGGTTCACAGGCCGCTGCAAAAGGAAAAAGACTAAACTCAAGCCCTAGGCTTTATACAGGAGAATCCCAAAAACCCCCCACTTGGAAAAAAACCCCATTCACATCACACCTAACAGAATCATCTGCATTGTCAAGATCTCCAAATTTAATGAAATTTTCCATTCTGGGGTTCTCACTTCTGGGCTATTGGATAATAAGAAGATTGGATGTTGGGTTGTCAGCAAGGGTAGGTAATGAGCAAATACCTGACTTACAATACATTACATTTACCAAAATTCTACAGTAAAGGAGAAGCGTAGACAAAAAAAAAAAAGAAGCTTTCTTTACTGTTTATTCTCTCTCCTTATTTTTTTTCACTTTTCTTATTTATTGGTAGATACATTTCTCATTCCATAGTCTAAAAGCCTACGTAAGAAAGTGACAAAGAAACAGAAACTAAACATACAATAACATTGAAAAAAGAGAGTGAGTCCTTTTCTGCATTTTTATTCAATTATTATTTATAAATGGACAATACTCTAGGTACATTTTTTTTTATATAGTAATTAGGAATGATGGATTGAAAATCGCGATATTTTGACCATTAGAAGGTTAAGAATAAAAATAAAACAGTTAAATACTTCTAATAAATATATATAAGATTTATGACTAGTATTTAAAAAATTTTATCGGTAATTTTTACATTAAAAATATTAAGATATCATAATTTTTATTTTTTTATAATTATTATTTATGTATTATAATATAATATTAAATGAAAGAAATCTTTTGCTAACATTAGCATGTGTTTTTCAATATGTATCAAGGGTATTTGTTGTCATAAGTTTATATAAAAAATATAAAAAATTAATATTAATTTTAATTTTACTACCACATAAATAAATTTAATAAACTAGTTGAAAAATTGAATATTATTTTTTATTTTTTAATATAAATTTATAATAAAAAATATATTTGTCAATTGTCATAAGGCACCAATTAAAAAAAATCTTACTAATATTAATTAGTAAAATTGAAAAAATGGAAAAAAAAATATATTTGTAGAAAGAAGGGCATATGGATGAATAAATGTGATTGCAGGAGGGGAGAGAGAGGGAGAGTAATGCGTGATTGAAGACAGTGTTAAGCGTGAAGTAATGAAAAGGTGAAACTTTTTTAAGGTGAAATGAAGAGACTGGAAGTCACTGGACACCAAATTAACCCAAAAATCACACCATAATTGCTTGCTATTCATTATGTTTATTTATGCAGTAAGCTTTACTCTCCCATCTTGAATCCTGTGGACATCTTATTGTTTTTCTCATTTTTCTGAAAACTTTGAAAAATATAAGCCTCTTACGGTCAAAGAAACAGGCTGGACTCCAATCACCATATACCTCTCTTTCATCCATGGTGTATCCTATCCACTCCTATACCCAAAAAAGACCCTTGCTTTTTCCTGAAAATAAAAAATATAGGAGTGCCCTTTTATGGAGAGATGATATGAGATTGGTTTTTGTCAAGAATTGGTGTGGATGAAAAATGAGGAATCTTCAAACCACAGTCCCCACAAAAGATAGCCTGTTGAAATTTAACAGATTGTCATACTCAAGAAACATTTGCTTATTTTTTTGATATAAAGATTTAAAATTTTTTATGAATTAGGAGAAAAAGAATCCTTAAAATCCAAAATCAAAAAGTTTCTGTCCTTCTAGCTATCAAAAATAGGTTTCTCTCATCACTGTTGAGTAAATGTGTTATTTTGATAAATACATCAAGTCTTATACTAGCATTTAAGAAAAATTAATTTTTTTAAAATGTATCAAGTTGATATAATGTATGATTTTAAAATTGTTTTAAAAAAATTAGTTTTAAGATATATAAAAATTGGTAAAAAAAAAAAAAAAAAACCACTTGACATAGGAAAAAAAGAAAGAAAGAAAGTTTTTGTCATTCTATGATATTGGGTTTGATATTTTTGGTTGTGATGGAGACGAACAGAGACAGCAAGACAGTGATGATGCCCTGCATTATTTTGGTGGTCCTTAACCTAACTAGAATCTTCTTAGGACAAAAAATTCCAATAAATTTATACTACCTCCATTGTTATGCTATTTTGATTTTTTAAGTTTTCCAATAAAATTTTCATATAAAAATTTAACAAAGTAAATGAATGATAATTGAAATCTATATATATAATTTGTTTAGTAGTTTCATATTCAATCAAAAAAAAATTTAATTATAATTAAAATTTCATATCAAATTAATGTGTAAAACGTTAAACTAGTAGTAGGACTAGGAGGTACTAATCTTTGATATCAAAATCAAATGTCCAAATGCACTAATTTAGTTTAATATATCCAGAAACTCTAATAATTGCTTAATTTTTAGATGTTTTTTTCTTTGTGTGTTAATTAAGCTGGTGAGATGGGTCCAGTGTATGCGCAACTGTATACAAACTAGACTCCTTAATAACGCCAACGCGTTACATGCCAGATTGCTTCATTTTCCAAAATACAAATATAAGTGCTTTCTAGTTTTGTGAGTGTAATCATGATGAAGAAGATTCGTGGCAATGGCACAATTTGTTTCCATGTTGGTGTTGTAGATTATATAGTGGGTTCCTTTTTCCGGAAGGTGCCATAAAATTAGTTAAAGGTTTTCTTGGCTTTACTAAGAATTTAATGTATTGAATCTCTATAGAAACTACCTAAAAGGTTTGAAAGCATTATTATTCGTTTAGTAAATATAAGAGGTAATTTTAATAGTACCGCACATTTAAATAGATAAATATTATTAAGTGTATTACATAGTTAATAATTTGAGATTATAAGTTAAAATTTTTATATTTAAATTTTGAGTTAAATAAGCAGTAATTTAAAAAATAATATTATTATAGCTATAATGTTATGCAAGATTGTGATATTAAATATGTTGATATATATATAACATCACAAGTGAACTTTTAAATGAAAAAAATAAATTATATAACGATATATCATATTATAAATTTATAATATCACTCAGTATTGTAATTATAATATTTTTATTTAGAAAAAAGAAAAAATTATCTCTTTTTATATACCTCAAAGAATCAAAGATATATATATATATACAAAATTTTAATAGTAAATAAAAGATAAGAGAATATTGTGGTGGAAGATATCCACCTTTTACTACTTTATCCACTTCATCCAAACAATAGGAATCCTAACTTCT